GGACCCGCGCTGAAAGGCAAAGATAACGCACGGAGACTGCGTTAGAACGAGCACGATTGCATGGCTCCCCACCAAGTGCAGTCGAATTATAATTACTAAACGCAGAAACAGGTTGGGACATGATTACAGTTGCCGTATTGATATGAGGTGAAGGCGTGTGGCAACCTTTCACCGATGATTCTAACTATGCAGTCTTGAGGGTACTGCTCCTAGGCAACCTCTCTTTCCCATCTACGGTGTGAATTAGTCACGTCATAGAATAACCATATAAACCCTATTAGAGGGCGTCGGTTCAAACAACTACGCGTCCCCCCGGAGTGGGAAGGCGGGACTTAAAGACGTTAAATATATCCACTCCAAACCCCTAGAAAGTCCGGCCCGATTGCTGCGAGAGCAGCAACCCGACTGGCCAGGTGTTTCTTCTCTGGGGCAGCCACACTCAGCGGCCAGTCGAGTGGAGGTCGGGTGTGGCTGTCTTAGGGGCGGAACGTCCCCGGCGTGCCGCTTCGCGGCCCGATCGGAATAAAGACCACTGGGTGAGTGGTTGAGGGCCGGTTTGGTTGGCGGGGTGGTGCGTTGGGGGAGACCATATGAGCCTCGGCTCGGTGTTCGCTGATTTTCTTAAGTAAGTTAGCTAGTTAGCAGACGTTCCAACAGCCATCCGTTTTTTGTAAAAATATATTCTTAGGATCATGTTTCGCCAACTTGCAGCTGTGTCAAGGTATTCTTAGTTTCATGTTTCAACATTAATAATTTTTTGGTTGTATACTTAGAATCATGTTTAACCAATTATGATTTATTTGAATGTATCCTAAGTGTCATGTTTCACCAAGTGTCAACTGTTTGAAGGTATTCTTTAAAAAAATCATGTTTTACCCATCATCGGTTCTCAAACGTGTTGGCTGCGGTCGTGCTTCAATAAAAATCCGTTGTTGTAAGGTCTTCGGGGAGAGACCTTCTTATAGTAAAATCTCAAAGGAAGATTGTGGGTTTTTTTGGTGTTTTTTTTTTGGTGTTTTTTTTTTTTTTTGGTGAACTGAATCTTTTACAAGCGCCCACCAGCAGCAACCCATTTTGCACTTTCGGATGTCGCAAGCCCCTTGGGTTTTGCTACGTTTTTCTTTGTTTTTTTTGTGGTTTTTTTTTGGTTTTTTTTTTTTTTTGGTGAACTGAATCATCTACAAGCGCCCACCAGCAGCAACCCATTTTGCACTTTCGGATGTCGCAAGCCCCTTGGTGTTTGCTACGTTTTTCTTAGATCGTATGCAAATGATATCAGCTCATTGATGTACAGTTTGTATTTGTCGCTATACGTATCACTTCTCTTCGATATTGTTCATTTAAATTAACGCATGGAGTGGATACCAGATTTAAGTTTTAAACTAAGCCCCATGTCTTTACGTCTATAGTGAATAGATTCATCCCATGGCATGGAGGCATCGAATTGCTACCAGTATATATATATATATATTTATTTTATATATATGTATTTGATCAGTTATTTTTTTTGGATCACATACTGATCCGTTATAACATGACTGAGTTCAAATCATTTTGATCTCTGTTTTAAATGCCACGGCAAATTTTTATAATTTTATCCTAGGGTATAAAGGACAAGGTAAATAATTTGGTTTCACTCAGGTCACGTTCCTGAGAGTTTCAGTTGGACGGGAGGGTCATTCTCACCGTGGGTCTCATTCTTTCTGAGCGTGCCATTATCACCGTTTCACTCTCATTGAGGTCTCATTTTCTCTGAGGGTCTCATTCTCACTGAGGGTCTCATCCTCATGATTTCACTCTCACTTAGGGGTATCAATCACACTGAGGGTCTCATGGTCAAGGTTTTATATTCACTTAGGGTATCATTCTCCCTGAGGGTCTCATTATCACTCAGGGTCTCCTTCTCACTATTTGCTTCATGTTTTCATTTGTGGTCTCATTATGTTGCATGCCCCGATTCAGCTCTGTACATGTTTGAGTGCGCTCTATAAGACCATCAAGCTGTTGTAAAGCTTGTCTGTACATGTTGGAGTGCGCTCTATACGACCATCAAGCTGTTATAAAGCTTGTATGTACATGTTGGAGTGCGCTCTATACGACCATGAAGCTGTTGTAAAGCTTGTCTGTACATGTTGGAGTGTGCTCTATACGACCATCAAGCTGTTATAAAGCTTGTCTGTACATGTTGGAGTGCGCTCTATACGACATCAAGCTGTTGCAAAGCTTGTCTGTACATGTTGGAGTGCGCTCTATCAGACCATCAAGCTGTTGTAAAGCTTGTCTGTACATGTTGGAGTGTGCTCTATACGACCATCAAGCTGTTATAAAGCTTGTCTGTATATGTTGGAGTGCGCTCTATACGACCATCAAGCTGTTGTAAAGCTTGTCTGTACATGTTGGAGTGCGCTCTATCAGACCATCAAGCTTTTGTAAAGCTTGTCTGTACATGTTGGTGTGCGCTTTATCAGACAATAAAGCTGTTGTAAAGCTTGTGAATACATTGGGAACAAAATTTAAAACAAACTGGAAGAAATTTTAATGGGAATAGTAAAGAGATAAGGCACCGGTTGGTGCAGTGTCGGGCTCCACTTTTCAATGGATCAATCAAGATGGTGTCAGCTGCAAATTGCTTCATTCCACAATACCATTTTAACAACTTGTATTTTATTCATAGACTAGGAAGAATTTCGTTTAAGTTAACGTAAAATGATTTGCGGAATCACGATAAAACAGTTAATCAGAAAATACCTGAGAACCATCTTACTGCTAGTGGTGCTTCTACTCGTGATGAAGAATTTATTGTTAACATTCGAGACCGAGGAGAACCCGAAGGCTGTGCATTTGCTGACATCGGTTAGTTACGACTGGAATAGGATGGGCAACAAGATGTTCAGATACGCCGCCCTCCTGGGAATCGCTCACACAAACGGAAGACGCCCTTTCGTGGGGAACTACACGCCCATAGACATCTCGAAGGTGTTCAAGATGACACACGCTGGGGAATATCATAACTACACAAGGTAAATAGCATAACTACACAAGGTAAATATCATAACTACACAAGGTAAATATCATAACTACACAAGGTAAATATCATAACTACACAAGGTAAATACCATTAGATTGGATTAGATTCCTCTTCACAACTAGAGAATTTTTCAAGAAAGCATTCTGTCAGGTCGCAACCCTTAAGTGACTTTTTGGAAATTAAAACATATGTACTTAATGGCTAGAAGAGTAACAGCTACTTTAATGTTAACTTTGCCTTTACTCATTAATTCTAATAGCAGCGCAGGAAGGGGGTGCTGGATAAGGTATGCCCCGGGCGGAGTTTATTTCTTTATATTCAAGAGCGGGATTTGCATCAATTTGCGAATTTTTTTAGTGGAATGGGTTCGCAAAAAATATTTGCTTTCCCCAGGTGGCACTAACCCCAGCTAGGCTACTGATTTTTTAAATCTTTATAACACAGCGTCTTTGATGCATCTGTAGTCAGTACCTCAATGAAGAGGCAAAGTTAAGAAGCCTACTTTTAATGTTAAGGTGAAATCAAAGACTTCCGCTGACGTCTTGGGTCTCTACACAAATTTGAACTTTTTGAAATTAGTTCTTGAATTAAACATTCAAATAATTTGATGTAATTCTTATGTCTCCCTTAGTGGACATTTGGGTAATTTGGTATAAAGATATTTTATTGTTCCGTGTTATGTTCATCTTGCGATTGATATTTGCTGGAGAAAAATGTTAAGTGAACCAAATGAGTAAATACTCCTATTATTTAAACATAACTCATCAAATTCCTACTTAATAACACGCCAGATGTTTGTTTCCTCTCAGCTGGCCCCTGGTCCACGACTCACTCTACGCTTATGACGACCCCAAGATGAAACACCTACCGGATGTTGACATTAAGCTGGGTGGCAATCTTCAGTCATGGAAATACTTCGAGGCCATCAGGGACGAGATCAAACGAGAGTTCACGTTTCAGGAACACATAAAGTGAGCACGTAGTCGAGTTCTGTGTAAAGCCGCGTATTAGAGGTTTAACGCCACTTACACGGAAATTTAAAGTTATTTAGCATTCGGTTGATCAGCTTTCTCATTGCACCACTAGACCGTTGCCAGATTTATTTGTTATTTTTCATCTTTTTTTTTTTTTACCTTTTATATGTCTTAAAATATGTGTTTAATCCCATATCCGGAAATTTGTTTGAAAGAAATTTCGTTGACGGAAAATTGATCGGCGAAAGTTTGGTCGAACGGAAGTTTGTTCAATTTTTTTTTTCAGTTCACACGATCAAAAATTTGAGTCAAATTTATTTTTGAATGCATTTTTTTGTCTCACTGTTAAAAAGAAATTTGAAGAAAATCTTTTGATCGTGTGAACTGAAATTCGACCAAACTTCCGTTCGACCAAACTTCCGTTCGATCAAATTTCCGTTCGATAGAACTTCCGTCGATCAATTTTGCGTCGACGAAATTTCTTTCAAACAAATTTCCGGTAACCGTTTAACTCGCTAGCACCCGACAGGAGATGAATAAATCAACTATGACCATTTCATGCTGGTCTTAACAAGCTATTTGTTGTGGTTTGTTTTAACTTAAACTTGTATCCAGATCTTGTCTCATGATGTGCGGAGCGACAGAAAAGCTCGAGGACCGGTGTCTTTCCGCGGGCCACCTCTTTTGGGAAACACAGATAAAAGTAAAAAAAAAAAAAAGTATACCCAGTTGTAACGATTCAATTAGTCTATAAAAATATTGAGACTTTTATTCAATGATCGCAGCAGAATTATTTTCAAGAAAAAGTTTTCAGGGAAGCCGAAAATAAGTAAATTTAATCAAGAAAGTATCTGACATAGCTGATATTTGCTTAAATAAAATCAATCGCATTTTAAGTTACTGTAAAACATATGTGACTTTAAACATTTAAAAAACTAAAATCTTTTGGAGTGGTTGTAATAAAAATTAATGTTTTCTTTAATTTGTATCCACACAGAATGCAGTCAGACAAAATGATACAGGCTATACGTCACCGGTTCAACTCATCCGACCTTGAACTTGTTGGTGTTCACGTGAGACAACGGGACAAATATTCCAACCCTGTCACCCTGGAGGCTCCCGTCTCATTCTTCAACAACGCCTTCGCCAAAATGAGGTCACTTCTGGGCGGGAGTAAAGCCTTGTTTGTCGTCGCGGGAAACAATCTCACCTGGTGCAGGGACAACCTCAAAGGTCCTGACATTGTTGTTCTTGACGACGCAAAGGCGGAAGTCCACTTCGCGGTCTTGGCCAGTTGCCAACATGGCGTCGTGTCCATCGGAACATTCGGTTGGTGGTCGGCGTGGTTGAGCGGAGGTCACGTGATCTACTACGTCAGGTTTCCTATCCCAGAGTCCACAGAGGCTGTCGGTTTCGTTGCTGAGGATTACTATCCAACACACTGGATACCAGTGGATCATTAGACGCCCCAAGTGTCCTTTTGACTATGTAATAATATCTCATCATGGAACTCATTATAAATTTTATCAAAGACATTGCCTTAAATAATTGGACTTGTGTCTAACAGTGACCAGAAAGATATCTCTACTGACTCTCTCGGTAAACGTGACATTTTCCCGACCTTCTGTCACCAGTAACCTAGTTCTATTGGCAATTTTGTAACGCTAGCCTTAGTTCTAGTTACTGTGATCAGAACCTCAGTTCTTCAATTTAAAAAAAAATCTTTTAGACCAGTGTTGGGTCAACCTTTTTGGTGCCGAGGGCCGCATGGAAGTATATTTTTGTGGCAAGTCTAAAATATCGAAATGACGCTCAAAGTTATTGGTGAATGTTATTTATTATTATTATTTTTTTTGGTCATATGATCATAATGATATGTTCAACATGATATTTGTGTAGGAATTTAAAGGTTCAATTTTTATATGAGTTATTAAAGAAATTCTTTGGAAAATCACTCCGAGTTCAGTTCGAAAATATTCAGTGAGATAATCTGTAATTTACCTGTGATTGTTATTATTATTACAATTGGACTACTTTACACTGCGATTATTATGTTTCCAATGATCATAAAGAAGTAATTCAAAATGTATACAGCCTACAAAACATTAATCCAGTTTCTCGGGAGGTCTCGCGGACCTCATAAAATGAGTCAGCGGGGCGTATGTGCCCCACGGGCCTTATGTTGCCCAAGGGCCGTATGTTGCCCACGGGCCGTATGTTGCCCACCTATGTCCTATTTTTCAAAGCTTCTAGTAGTTCCATTATTATATATGTTGCTTTTAAAAAAAACTGCCATCTTTTTATATGCTTTTAAATTTGTGTATTTTTGGAAATAAAGAAGGGATCAGTGACTTCCCGTCTCTTTAACTGACTTGTCTTCATTTTGTAAACATACCTTGCCCCACTTATTATCTATTTTTACAGTGTCAACACTTTTCTAGCATGATATTTTGTTTAATATTCAAGTTCAAAGGTCATCTGATGTTCCCATAATTTTATTCCAGTCTTTAAATTGTCTGATACTTTCAATGATGTTCTAGTTTTGTGGTCATCTGATCTATTCACTGCCGGTTGACTCATTCCGCTGTTTTCGGACTGTTCCTTTCCCATTCCTAAAGTACGCGATCAGACACTCGTTCAAACCTGGGATATGGAATCAGCTGTGTGTTTCAGATCACATGGGCGTTTGGTATTCTTCTCTTTCTATCCCCGTCCACCGTTGAAGAGTCCAGGGGAGGTACAATGGACTGTGATTGCCTCAAGGTACTAAGCGGGCTTAGTAATCTCATCAATGTACTAAGATCATAGAAGGCGTTTGGTTTTAAAAGGAGTGTAAATCCTGATTCGGGTAGTGTTTTGATAAAAACGAGAGAGTAGCATGGTGTATCTAACACAGTCAGTCAACCGACGGCCTTGGGGTGGTCTTCCTATGGCCCTGAAACCCGACGTGCCTGCTTCAGTGTAAGCTTACAATGCAGGCTGGTTGACAGGCATAATCTGAACAGGTGGCCCAAGCAATTAATTTGTCGTTTGGTCATATGACGATCCTTTATGTCTTACTTCCCGGTTCCATTGTGTGCTTGCTTCTTGTTTAACCAGCGTCTCGACTTAGATATCCCAACCCGCTGGGGAACGATTTCCACTCGAAACTCTTATTCAGAGCTCAGGTTCGACATTAGAAGGTAAGGTTGGAATAAGGCAGTGTTAATGTGCCTGGGTTTGGGCGCCATCTTTATCCTTGGGTGTCGTAGGAGCAGGCAAATTTTGTAGCTGACTGGATTTGTTCGCTGCACTCTTGTCTCTATCTGCTTTCAAACCATTCTACCGTCCTTGGTGAATTTATACCCCAGATTTTTCCGGAGCAGCTATTTTTTTTTTTTTTTTTTTTTTTTTTTTTTTTTTTTTGTGTGGGTGGGAGTTTTTTTAAGGGGTGGGTGTATACAACCTACTGTCCTTAGTCTAAGCTTTGCTTATTTTCATTCCGTAAAGTTTCCATGTACTTTTCTGGAGATCAACACGGCTTTGCACTGGTCATCTGCAAACACCAATTCATTGAGCATCTCGGGATTTTGAATGACACTCTTTGTTAATTTATTCCATGTATATAATGAAGGTAAATGGTGATAGAACCCAGCTCTGTCTAACGCCAGATTTTTACTTCAAACCACCCAGAGAGTCCATTTGGGCTACGCACAGCACTGAGACTTCTTGCTCATAATGCCCTGGGGTTATCGAGGAGTTGTACTTTGACTTTTTCCAGCACATCCCAGAGCTTATTTCTGTCGAACGTGTCAAAAACGGGATGGAGCCGTCTTTGGTATTAAAAAGCTTTTTACCCCCACACATTAGCCTTATGGCGAAGATTGCATTCGGGCAATCTCTTCCTTTTCTTAAGGATTGCCAAGAAGTTGTTCAACTTTAGCTTCTGTCCGCTTCTCCAAGATTTTCTGCAAATCTACGTACCCGAGACTTTTTTGGTTTTCCATTTCTTCCCCCACCCACGGACTATTTCAAGCTCTCCGCCAGTTTTCTGAGGCGCCTCTTTCTTTCCTCCCACGATGACGTATGATTGTCAGCCATTGAATAATCGAGCTCTCCCCCATGCCGTTGTGGCTTCTGTGGTAATTTAATCTACAAACGTAGCCTTGTTCTTTGTTTTGATCCTTGTCGCATCTCCGACTCCTTCTTCAAAGATCTCGGGTTCAGCGTGCTCATGATAGCTGTTTAGTACATTTCTCTCAGCACGATTGAGAAGCTCTTTAAATTAATCCACAAATCTCTGTTTGACTTCAGTTTCACCAAAGAGTGTATTTTCATTCTGGTCATTTATCACAGAGGTAGGGTCTACGGGTTCATCCTTGAGTCACGTTGGTTTTTTTACTCTGTAGTAACATTGTCTGGGTCACCTCTAAAATACATCACTCAAGTTCTCTCCTTAAATATTCCGTGTTGAATTCTTTTCATAATTTTTTACAACTTTCTTTGGTATTAACCTTTAAAAAATGACTGCATTGTGGGACTAGGTTGTGTATACACATTTGAATAATTGTAACATATTTAACAAATTTATGCTAATCTTTAGCCGTTATAAAAAAAAACAGCACCTCTTTACACTCCTCCTGAGAACCACCGCCTGCTGTGATCTCTATCCATTGATTAAAACACAAACCACTTGAAAGAAATGCGACAAAGCTTCTTATAGCAAGTCGCTATGACGAGAATAGCAGGGCAAAGTTGACATCTTTAAATGCGTCGTCGTAAAGTGACAAGATATAGAGCATTATAAGGTTTCGGCTGATGGGAGGGCAAAACGAAGAAAAACAGACTGTATGTTGAAACCAATGAATATATGATCAAAGGACACACACACACAAAAAATAAAACGTTGAAGAAAAAATCCTCATTTCGATCTGTTAGACTTATTTCAACCCCTTTCGATCTGTTAGACTTATCTCAACCCCTTTCGATCTGTTAGACTTATCTCAACCCCTTTCATGTTTTCCACATATCACACAAAATATCTTACGCTCCCCCCATATATTTCATTCTCAACTGCCTCTAACCATTGCCTCTTGCAACTGCCTCTAGCCGCTGCCTCTAACACCTGCTGCCTCTTCACACTGACTCTAACAAATGCCTCTAGCCAATGCCTCTAGCCACTGTTTCTAGCCACTACCTCTAACCACTGCCTCTAGCCACTACCTCTAACCACTGCCTATAGCCACTGCCTCTAACCACTCCCCCTAGCCACTGCCTCTAGCTACTGCCTCTAGCCACTGCCTCTACCCACTGCCTCTAACCACTGCCTCTTACCACTGCCTCTAACCACTGCATCTAGCCACTGCCTCTAGCCACTGCATCTAACCACTGCCCCTAACCACTGCCTCTAACCACTGCATCTAACCACAGCCCCTAACCACTGCATCTAGCCACTGCCTCTAGCCACTGCCCCTAACCACTGCATCTAGCCACTGCCTCTAACCACTGCCCCTAACCACTGCATCTAACCACTGCATCTAGCCACTGCCCCTACACACTGCATCTAACCACTGCCCCTAACCACTGCATCTAACTGCTGCCCCTAACCACTGCATCTAGCAACTGCCTCTATCCACTGCATCTAACCACTGCCCCTAACCAATGCATCTAGCCACTGCCTCTACCCACTGCATCTAACCACTTCCCTAACCACTGCATCTAACTGCTGACCCTAACCACTGCATCTAGCCACTGCCTCTACCCACTGCATCTAACAACTGCCCCTAACCACTGCATCTAACTACTGCCCCTAACCACTACATCTACCCACTACCTCTACCCACTGCATCTAACCACTTCCCTCAACATACTCCCTCTATCCACTGCATCTAACCCCTGCCCCTAACCACTGCATCTAGCCACTGCCCCTACCCCCGGCATCTAACCACTTCCCTAACCACTGCATCTAACCGCTGACCCTAACCACTGCATCTAGCCACTGCCTCTACCCACTGCATCTAACAACTGCCCCTAACCACTGTATCTAACTACTGCCCCTAACCACTACATCTAGCCACTACCTCTACCCACTGTATCTAACCACTTCCCTAAACACTGCATCTAATTGCTGCCCCTAACCACTGCATCTAGCCACTGCCTCTACCCATTGCATCTAACCACTGCCCCTAACAACTGCCTCTAACCACTGCCCCTAACCACTGCATCTAGCCACTGCCTCTAACCACTGCCCCTTACCACTGCCCCTAACCACTGCATCTAGCAACTGCCTCTAACCACTGTCCCTAACCACTGCATCTAGACACTGCATCTAACTACTGCCTCTTACCACTGCCCCTAACCACTGCCTCTAGCCACTGCCTCTAGCCACTGCATCTAACCACTGCCTCTAGCCACTGCCTCTAGCCACTGCATCTAACCACTGCATCTAGCCACTGCATCTAACCACTGCATCTGACCACTGCAT